CCGAACTCCGACCACTGGGCCGTAGAACCCGTAGCCAGCCGCTGTATCGAATGGGCTATCGAGGTTCACAAATTAACTACAAATAAATAATGTAATTGCTTATGTAAGATATAACATGTAAAGTAAATAAAGCAAAGCTATCCCTGTAACAGGCCGTGAAGGCCTATAGGGTTGTGAGATGTTGAGGGTCCCACATTGTTTAGACAATCGGCTCACAGATGACGGTAAAGTTGTCAGCCCTACGCTCCGGCCGCCTGTTACACCCAAGAATATTCCTGGTATTCATTTCTGTTAGAGGCTGAGTCGACCCCAGGGCCATAGTGCGGCTGGCAGGATTAGGTCAATTGAAAAAAAATCCAGTGACCTCATCGGGACTTGAACCCGCGACCTTCCGGCTTGTAGCATAGTGCCTCAACCAACTACACTGCCGCTTGCCCCCAAATATAACATGACGTTCTTGAACTTAGGTTTTCTCTCCGGGAGTTTATTGTATGACTTCGTCCTTTAGGAATACGTCACGAGTAACACACAGGGTTTTGTAACGTTTCGGCACACATTGTAGTTGCCGTCTTCAGTGAATCGTCCGTTGTCACCACTTCATGGCGCCTCCAGAGTTTGCGGTGGAGGAGGCGGTCTCCTGAATAGGGGTTATGAATGTTGTAAATAAGCACTACCCGATAGCCAAGGGGTTGTCCTCCATTTTGATGGTTTGGCATGCGACCAACACCACATCGTAAAGTCAAGCTTCTTACAAAATGTTACATAAGGTCATGGACTTAGGCTGATTATTTGGATTAAACTCGATCTTAAAGGAATATGAGGAGAGGGTGTGTACTCGATTAATCTGGCTCACGATAGACAACAGTTAAGGACTTTTGTGAACACAATGAGCCTTCGGATTCCATGAAATGCTGCGAATTTTTTCAGTGGTTGAACATCTGTTGGCTTCTCAAGGACTGAACTGAATGGACTTAGCTGGGATAATGTCAACTCACCCTGAAGATGGCAAGTGTAATATATTCCGAAATGTTGAAAGTCTTAAAAATGTTTTGGGGGCGTATTTCCAAAAGCCGAAGTCATTTGATAATACAACACTTCAACCTCCTAACGTAGACACACGAAATTCAGTGCACTGCAAGGAACAGACGCTCATTGCTGGTACTTGTTATCACGTTGAAGTTCTAAGGTGGAAAGATTGTGACTTAACGTACACTCCTATGTCCTCTTAGTAGACTGTACAGCTGCTGTTGTGTGCCCACATCGGATGGGAGGTACAGGTAAAATTGTCCCCGTGCTTATCTAGTCGTAATTAAGCACTACGTCATAAAGGCGTATAGGGGAGCGGATATGTAGATCCACTTTTTCTTGACCTCGGCACTATTTGGATGTGAGTGGTCAGCTTCACCCCCCGGTCGATTTACCCCCGGAACCCACTGAGTAGGAGCCTGGGTGGGCCCCAGAGCCGATATGGATAACGTGGAGTAGAGAAATCCTACCCCCACCGGGACTCGAACTCCGACCTCTCTGTCGTACAGCCCGTAGCCAGTCGCCATACCGACTGCGCTAGCCCGGCTCCTCATTGGATGGGAGACATAACGGAATCTCGTGAATGTACTGGTGTCGCTTTCCGCTTTTGTGCATTTTTATACCGGCTTTGGACAGCCTTGACCGCCTCTACGGTCTAGTGGTCAGAGTTCCTGGCTACAGAACCAGAGGTCCCGGGTTCGATTCCCGGTGCTACCAGATTTTCTGAGAAATAGTGGGTCTGGAACGAGGTCCACTCAGCCTCTTGAGGATAATTGAGGAGCTGTTTCAACGAAATAGAGGCTCCGGTCTAGAAAAACGAGATTAATGGCTGTGGGGATCGGTTGCTCTGACGACCCGACACCCTCTATCCGCTAAAGTTGGCACTTACTTCGCCGGCAAGCGGTGGTCGCTCGGTCGGTATAGTTCGCTTGCGGACTACAGGTCACGGGTTTTTTGGACAGCCTTTCAAAGACCATTCTCAACTTCACATGTACAAATGCCATTTCTGCTCCTAACAGCTGAGGTGTTCTAATAATTCCAATATAAGCAAGCGTACTTCTTACAGCTTGTCTTTGAAGAGTCAGCTGACTCGATATCAAATAATCGAAATTCCATCCCACATGGATACGCATAATAAAATAAAATAAAATTTCGCCTTGAAATTGCCGACTAAAATTGATCAAAGACAGCTACTCTTAATTAAACTGTACAGAGTAAGAAGTGTTTGAATACAGTGTTGTCTGAATTATTTTTCAGTATAATGAATTTTGTCTCTTTATGCGGTGACGCGAGCAGAGAAGTGGCTTAGTCCCCTCAGACTTGGCGGCGCTGCCAACGGGAGCTATCGGAGTACCCAGTGGAGATTTGAAGCTGATGGTGAAGCTTCGTAATTCGGTCTTCTAGGTTTTAACACTCTACAGTGTGGTTAGTGTTTACCACGTTTCGTAGTAACATATTGCCTCCATCTTTCGGGGCATATGTGAGACTAAATTTCTACCTGGATTGTGGAGCCAGTATATTTCTCCAAAACGTTGGTAATCACCTACCCGACTCTAAGGTGTCACAACCTAAGAGATCGTAATATCAGTACCTGTCAATTAATTAGTAACCTATGGGATCTATGACGGGGGAATCGGGGTTCGGTTCCGGTTATGGGCAAGGAATTTTCCTCTTCTCCACCATGTCCAGACCGGTTCTGCGGCCCATTCAGCCTTCTATACAATGGATACTGGAGGCTGTTTCTTCAGGGGTAAAGCAGTAGGGACGTGAAGCTGACCACTGTCCTACATCTAGTGAGGAGATCAAGAATGGTGGACCTATATTTCCACTCCCCCATACTTCTTCATGGGTTGGTATTCAGTTAATAAACTCCAGGAGTAACTTTCTAAAGGCAAATGTGCCTGAGATTACTTCTCAGTCAGGCACACTGAATTATGATGTTTTTGTCACATGCATTAAGGGTGTAAACAGAAAGTGCATGGGAAATGGTTTTAGGCTAGGGAGGTAAATATTCCAGCGTGGTTGCAGAAAGCGAGTTAGACTAAACAAAGGATAATTAATTTCACATAATCTTTGCTGACTTTATGTTTTCATGCGTACAGTATCCATATTTGCACACAAGGATTCTGGGTGAGCAAGCTGATAATATGCACAGATACAACATAAATAAAGGGATTTAATTGTATGGTGTTGCCATGCCGCTGCAATCCCGTCGGAAATTTCAGCGAACCAGTCTTGTCCAGCTCGCATTTCAAGTATGTTTCACTGCATCATAAATCGAACACCCTGTATAGGCTTATGCGTACTTAATTATTTTTCAATTAAAATATAAACTAAAAGACTCAGAATGTCCGTTTGCTTAAGTCTGTTGCATACCAACACGTGTGGGGGTGTGGAGGAATAGCTTGACGCATTCGTAACCTTAGAACTTGACGGAAATGCGTGGGCAGCATCAAAAGCCGGCCGCTTTACATCCCAGGAAAAACACCGGTAGGCCTATCCTTCGTATACGAGAGTGACTAAGGGAATAATACAGTAGCCTGATACAGAATGAGCGATGCTTTATATTCGGGTGGGCTCAAGTTCAGATCTCAGTTCAGTGACTGCCTGTCGTGGTTAAGGTTTTTCGTGTATTTTTTGAGTCCATTCAGACAAATTCGGGGTCAGAATCTCAAAACAGGCTGCTCTGGCCTCCTTTCACGTCTTTCGCAATTCATTATTCACTTCTTATCCTACTGGAGCACGCGGTAGCGTAGTTGGTTGAGACACTATGCTACAAGCCGGAAGGTCGTGAGTTTGATTCCCGATGGGTGTTTTTTTTTTCAATTGACCTGATCGTTCCAGCCGCACTATGGCCCTGGGGTCGAATCAGCCTCTAACAGAAATGAGTACCAGGAATCTTCGTGGGGGTAAAGGGCGGCCGGCACGTAAACCTCACAACCTTACCGTCGTCTGTGAGCCGATTGTCTAGAAAATGTCGGAGCCTGGACGTCACACAACCCTATGGGCCTCCACGGCCTGTTACAGGGACAGGTTTACCTTTTTATTTTTACCTTATTGTCCTGTCATGTGTTTAGCGGAATCATTTCAGTTTATTGTGGGAATCGTATTCGCTGATTAACTGGCTGACTTTTTTTATTGCTAGTGGGGTGGGACTAAGTCCCTTGTACTGCGGCCACTTCTGGCCTATTGTACCAGCCCCAGATGATAGGTGGGGGTGATTGTGGAGCAATTGGTGGGATGAAGATTGGCAGGGGAAACCGAAGTACTCGGGGGAAAACCTGCCCAGCGCCACTTTGTCCACTACAAATCTCACTTGACCAGACACGGGATCGAACCCGGGCCACCGCGATGGGAAGCCAGCGACTAACCTCTTGAGCTATGGCGCGGCTGGCTAACTAACTGACTAGTCAACCAACTAACTATATGCAGCCGAATCACTCTTGAGAAGTTAACCCCCTAGATAATCAAGAAAGTGACATAATTTTAAGGAAGGCGGAACCTCACAGTAGCTTGAGACTGGCAACCTCTTCTGAGTCAGATTAATCCAGTCCACCGTCTAGCATTTTATTTCTTTGAAATCCATGCGAATATGATTGTGCCATCTACTTTTATTTATTTCATAAGGTGTCTTTCCTCCGGTTTTCGTACGAAGAATTTGTAACAATTTACCTTCTCTGATATGCATGCTACATACCCCGCCCTATTATTTGACGTATAATCTGAACTGCTGACACTGTCACATAAATCATAAATAAATAAATAATGAAGATAAACATAAACCAGTCTCCAGTAAATAAAACTTATAGCTGGGGTGTATGTAATATTTCAGTGCTCGTTCGTGATTCCATTTGTTTGCTTGTTGAAACCAGAGGGTTAAATTTTGGGGGTGGTAGTGGGGTGAGGGCGTCACCCTGGCCCGCGCAGGGTCTGTAGGACGCCTCGCTACTAGTTTAAGTAGTACAGTGCCGGGCGAGGCCGACGTCGGACGCTTCTCGACGCAAGAATGGCAGGCATTTGTGTGTCGTTATAGAAACCGCGATTGGACACAGTGACATCAGCTCAAAACAGATATCAATGATTGAAGGTTGCTCTCATTCACGACTTTGTCGTAGTTGAAATGTTTTCTTATTTTCATAGAACTGACTTAAGTTTGTGTGTGTAAATAATATAATACGCGACAACGAATTATTACGTTGAAAGATATTAAGATATATACTAATTTCAATAGACTTCATTAATGCCACTTATTAATAACAGTGTCAGTGGCAATTTTGAGTGTTTCCAGAAAAAAATATGCAAATTATTTTTAAATGACCTGTTCTGAAAATAAGAGTTTAAACATTATGGACTAATTATAAAAGGGAAAGAAATATATTGGCGGACATTAACATTTTTATTTATTTCATAAGTTTATAGAAAATATATTATATTTAGCATAATACATCGGCAATTTAACCTCAGTAATGTCCTTTCAAAGATATTCTTGTCATTACAGTTCTGCATAGTTTCTTTTGTCATACCAACTTCTTAAATATTGAACTAGTTCTTCTTTTAATTAACCCGTTATAGAATAAACAGTATCGACAGTGGTTACATAGAGGTTTTAGTACATGTAACTGGCAGCTAGTTGCCACACAGTTGCTCGCTTACTGTACACGACACCAAGGTTTGTTTGTTTGTGTACGAATGTGTGTCTTAATTGTGTAAATACAAGGCTTGTGTTTCGTCTTCAGTGCGTCAGTCACTTGTTTCAGATGTTGCTCTTACTATCACCAACAAGTGTAGTCTCAAAACAATAGTGAAACACGTAAGTACAACGCGGTTATATCTAGTATATGTACGAGTCTCATATGACAATTAATTGTGACTTTAAAAAACGAATATATACATGTGTGTGGTCTTTATGTTGAACGATTTCGTATGAAACACATGGATATGTAATGCTGTTTGGACACAAGTTAATAACTGTGATCTCACATGCTTAATGATGGAACGAAATGTTGAAAGTCACATCGGCACGTGACTGATGATTTTCGAGATAACAAAAATGTAGTGAATTTTTGACATTTTCAAATTAACTCTAAATTGGTTTAATATGAATTATAAACCATAATATGTGTAATACATGCAAAGAAACGATAATATAATGGTGCATTTTGGATAAACAAGGAATTAATTTTGGTGCCGTAAAATAAGAGATTGTACAACTTTTATATTTAGTAGTCGGACATATTGAAAATTTGTAAATTCTTCGGGTGTAACTCAGCTAGCGTCGTTTTATATATGTTGCAAACTTTGAAAATAGGAGAAAACATTTTATTTGTTGGTATAATAAAATGTTTGATTTTTATAAAAGGCATTTTGGCTGCTTAAAATATAACATGATGTAATGTCGAGGGTTTATTGAACGAACCTAAAATGAAATTATATGGAATATTAATTTAAACATTATATCAGAACACAAAATATACTTCATGGAATTTAATTTTACGTACATAAATATTTAATCCAGCGTTTGAAGAGTTCAGTATTTCTTCAGATATATGATGAGGAATGTTCTGGTTCTGCTTTTATGTAAATTCAAAATTAATTCTCGTATCATAATTACAGAGACAATTCATGTCAAGCTTTAGTCTGTGTAGTGACCTACGGACTTCTGAAGTGATTTCGAAACAACCTGTGACATCCCCAGGGTAATAAATATCAAAATGATGTATGTTCAGTAATGTAGGCAGTTGGCACGGATCTGACAATTCACAACCGATGAGCAACAATGCCATCGATTAGCATGGATAAAACCACCCCAACCCCCACGCAGTGCTTCGGGCGTATAAGTTATCATTAAAATTGTCAATGACAATGCGTGTGTCTGTGGTTGTATAAATCAGTTTGTCTGCAATCTCCACGAATTGTAAACAGTACAGCCCAAGTCATAGAAGAACAAAGTAGCCGGAGTGAGACATATAGAAATACCAACAATAAACAACTGTCGAAATGACAACAGAAAACACGGGAACAAGTAACAATCAGATGACGAATGCAACAAAATCATTATTATCCATGGTGATATCATCATCATCATCATCATCATCATCTTTGTTAAGAGGCGATAATGACCACAGCGAAGAGTGGAATGAAAAGTTTGTTCAGTCAAATCAACAACAGCAACAACAACATTTTGAACATAAAAACGAAACAAAACATAATATACTGTCATCTGTTGATGGATGGACAACATTCAACGTTTCTAATAACTACGCAACAATGACTTCAACTATCAACAATACAAGCGAAGATATATCGACGTTCTTACACAATGCCTTTTACAATATTTCTTTGAATTCAACAAATTCCGTTGTGTTTTTCGCTGAAGATGTTGGTGATTATTTTTTAAATAGTAATAATGGTTTTAACAGTACGTTTGGGGTGCAGAGTGTGATGGGCCTGTTTGACCCGCAATCGAATTGTAATACGTCGTGGATAAACAGTTCATGCAGCAATGGAACATTAGGTGACGTGGCGTCGGCCTATAATTACTGGGCCCTCATTCTTGTGCTGTTTCCCATCTTCACGCTGTTTGGTAACGTCCTGGTCATCATGGCTGTGTGCAGAGAGAGAACCTTGCAGACTGTCACCAACTATTTCATTGTCAGCCTCGCCATAGCTGATCTCCTGGTGGCCGTAGTTGTCATGCCTTTCGCGGTCTATGTCTTGGTGAGTAAAACACATTCTTTTATACAGAGGGACTCACTCGGAATACTCACATGATTAATAATTATAAACCGCATAATAATTTATTGATGGAACTGGAACGTGGCAAGTGCATATCTTTGTAGATGTGGAGATAATTGGGGAACACGAGATGTTAAGATTTGTCTCCTTCTGCCTGGAGACAGGCTCCAACTGCTGTATTCCTTATTGGGACGCTGGCTTCAGTATTCGCTAACAAGAAGCGCCCTGTCGCCCTGTCTCTCCAGTGGAAGAAAACCAATTAAACACTCGAATTATCTTCCCGAGCACGAAGGTTTATCCTCGCAAAGTTTCTTTTTCATATGTAAATTATTGTGTGATTTATAACTATTAATTCAGAGTCTCTTCCGAGTGAAATATTTGATGCTATTAAAAAAAAAGGACAGCAATTTCTACCGGATTTTAAAATATCTTATTACAGCTTAAGAATTCAGCGATGTCTCTGAAGCCTACTTTTGCAGAACTTCACCACAGTCTAACTAAATATGTCCATATAGCGGCGTTCTTTCCGTGAGGCTAATATTCGCTCACAGTGTTACATGTGGGCATCCTGCTGCGTTCATGCATCACGCGCTCGTTCATTTCCGTTTCTAATGCAATCTAAAATTGTAAGTTTTGAGGTTTTCACGGCGATGACTATGAAGAAAGTCGTCTTGTGTGTTTAGGCGCCAAAACGAAGAATACACGGCGCCTAAACCCAGAAGGCGACTTTCTTCAATCTAAAATTGTTTACAATTTTTTTCTTTAAATTTACATTAAAATCACACCAATTCCTACATGTTTCAGCCCTACTTGGATGTCTTCAGAAAATTGTTCACTTATTGAAACTGTCGTAGTCAGTGCATTACATGCTGTTGCATGCCTCTGTTTGAGAACTAAACCCTCTTTCCGTTCCGCATTATTTCCTTTTGCGGCGTCCATGTGTGTTCTCGCTGCTTGGGCGTATGTCCCTTGTATTACAATACAGTTGTACGAGTAATACAAGGGACCTGCGCGGAAGAAGGAGAATATTTTATTTTCAAAAAAACACATTTCAGTGTGAACAAGATATGCATCTGCATGGAACACACTATTGTATTTTGTACTGTATTGGAGAGGGTGGGTTTCCCCATGCACTTAGACCAACTGTTGGTCCATTGTGCGTCCCCCTATGATATTCTACCAGTATCTATTCCCTACCGGTACTGGTGCGTGCCATCAGTCCCGACTCAGCCAGCGAGTTCGGCCTCTACTGGCTCAGCGGTATCTCGATGCTTCTTCCATCTACCAGAGGCGTTAGAGACTACTGTTGGGAGGGAAATGCCCTGAATTTGGCTTAAAGTCCCTCCCGGAGGACTTGTTCCCTGAATTTTTCCGTCCTTAAAAATTCCACGACCTCCGCCGGGTTTGAACCCGCGTACCTTGAGTCACGAGGTGGGAACGTTACCCTTAGACTACGGAGGCCGCTATGGAACACACTAACTTGCCATTTAGTGCATTGCGACTGTTTCAGTAAGTGAACAGTTGCCTGAAGGTAGGTCCGAAACAAGTAGCAATTGATGTGACTTTGATGCCATTTGAAATAAAAGAAAGATTGTGAAGAGTTTTGTGTTGCGTTAGGAACGGAAATGAACTAGCGAGTGATATTTGCTCAGTTTTTCAGCCAATTCCTGGTTTAATTTATTGTGTTTAAAGTTACCGTGTTAACAAAACTGTACAGTAGATTCCTCTCTTGAAGGATGGAACTTTTCGTTACGGATTTAGAATTCCAGTCTCTAGTGCTCATATCTACGTTAGTCTTTTGAAGCGTGAATTTCTTCTAAGTATTAATTAAAAACTAAATTCCTACAGCGTAAGAAATGGGGACGCGCGGTAGCGTAGTTGGTTGAGGGGCTATGCTACAAGCTGGTAGGTCGCGGGTTCAAGTCCCGATGAGGTGATTGGATTTTTTTCAGTTTACCTAATTCTTCCAGCCGCACTATGGCCCTGGGGTTCACTCAGCCTCTAACAGAAATGAGTGCCAGGAATTAATTAAATCATTTTTCTGGGGAGTAAAGCGCGGCCGGCGCGTAAGGCTGACAACTTTACAGCCATCTTTGAGCCGATTGTTTAGAAAATGTGGGACCCTCAACGTCTCACAACCCTATGGGCATTCACGGCTTGGTACAGGCATAGCTTTACTTTTACTTACAGCGTAAGAAATACGTTGTTTCTTCACGGAAATCACCAACGGTTAATGCTGTTAGGAAAAGATCTCTGTTTATTCAGAAAAATCTACCAAAACTTGTATACTGCGTCGGTAAAACGCAAGTTTTCTTTAATGTTAAAACAACTTGAATATATAGTTAACACTGAGATTCAAACGGCTACATATTCCGTAAAATATGATTCTTTGTGAATCACAAGTTATTTTCATTCCTGCTGCACTAGTTATGACATCAAAGAGAAACAAATTTGCTTCAGCTTACCGATATCAGGAATTCACTTCTTTGGTTTAGGGACTTTGCTTTGAGACCCTTCTTCACTTGCATGTGTACAGCGCAGGTAGAACACCAACACTGAAGAACACCCCGGTAATGTCTGTATGCTCTCACCGAGCAAGTTGTGTCAGAAGGTATCGATCTGATTGGAATTCGAGAGGCGCTCTTTCGAATCTCGGCCGAGGCACTGACTGGCATTCTTCGTGGCTTTCTTCAGTCTCTCCACCCAGGCCTGAATATGCCTTAATATTAGACCCGAAACGTCTGCAAAATTGTATCCATTTTATTCATTAATCGTCCATTTATTTGATGTTATATTCGCATATTCTGAATTTACGACGGCGTCGTTAAATAAGCTAAAAATATAGCGACTGGCTACGGGCTTGACGACCGAGGGTTCGGAGTTGTAGTCTCGGTATGGTCCAGAATTATCTTTACCCACAGCTTCCAGACCGGCTCTGAGGCCCACCCAGCTTCCTCTCCAGTGGGTTCCGAGATCATTTTCCTTGGGGGTAAAGCAACCGGGGCGTGAAGCTGACCACTCACCTCCAAGTAGTGCCGAGTTTAAGAAAATATGGATCTATAAATCCACTCCTTCATAAGCTTTCACGGCGTAGCGCTAAACTAGTTAGGCACAGGCACAAGTTTACTTTACTTTGACACTTTAAATATTCGATATAACTAAAGGATAGTCTACAATTCAAAGGTTGCAGTAGACACCATTTACATTAATATTAAGTAAAACTGCATTATGCTCACAACCTTTATTTACGTACTCCGTGTGATTCTCACATTGAACAGCAATTATTTCCTTAAACAGCGTTAACAGATTGGCGGTTGTCATGGAGACGCAACGTATTTCCTGTGAGGTACGAACCGAACACTTCACATTACGTCAATTTCAGGCATCAAAAGTAAACATGAATCGCACCTTCGGTTGCAAAGAACGACGGGAAACTATTTGTGTTTGACCCAGTATTGATGCCTCATGGCAGTTGCACTGACAGTTACAGCTGCAGCCTCGTCTTTGCCACTCTCAGACTTCAGTGGGTTAATAAAACATCTCATGTACAGACATTACTTTCAAGGCAGTTCAGTGAAGTTCTTTCTAATGTTAGAAAAGTTACGATTGCAGGGAGCTGCACAGTGAGCAATTTCGTGACTTAAAACGGCTGTTTTAGTGTTCTTTATCCATTTACTCATATTTAACTACTTATGATCAGCAAGGGAAAGCGGTAGCATAGTTGGTTGAAGCACTATGCTACAAGCCGGAAGGTAGCTAGTTCGATTCCTGATGAAGTCATTGCATTTTTCAGTTGACCTAACCGTTTCAGCCGGACTATGGCCCTGGCGTCGTCTCAGCCTCTAACAAAAATGAGCACCAGGAATCTTCCTGGGGGGGGGGAGGAGTAAAGGGCGGCTGGCCAGCGCGTAAGGCTGACAACCTCACCGCCACCTGTGAGCCACTTGTCTAGAAAATGTGGGAACCTCGACGTCTCACAACCCCACGGGCCTCCATGGCCTGTCAACAGGGATAGCTTTACGCTTACCTTATGATCAGCCAAATTTTCATTCAAAGCTAGAACGTGCATGATGGCTGGGCAGGAATTTGTAAGGAGACCGTTTTGGCTGGAGGCACCGCGGAAACTTAAGCAATGTTGGCCGCCATTGCACCGCAGTACGAGTTGCGCAAACATGTCTACCTAGTTTTGTGAGATTTAATCGTAGATAGGGAAGTAGAAGGTTATATCATAAGCCTGATAAAGAAAAGTAAGGGGGGATACAGAGTCACACACAGACAAAGGTAATTGCATAAGCCTTCCTCTTTTTTAAGAATAATGGAAATAGGCTACAAAAATTAATATTAAAAATAGATATGTTGAGGATTCAAGCAGCTCAGGACTGCAACAAGCGATGTAATTTTGTGAACAAGGGAATGAACATTCGTGCCGCGTAAAAAGCTTGGAATTTATTGACGAGTTGAACTTCTCAAGATAGGCTCTGTTCCATTGAGTTTTGCTGTGTTAACGTTAATTAAGGATGTGCCTGTTGGTTGGGAATGTAGCTCGCATTTGGACAACAGCGTGTGCACAATGAATGGCGAAGACGAAGTATGATGTTAGAACCGGGTTTATAGGAATACTTCAAGTTTCTAGAACGTGAAGTAAATGCAGTGACGTCTTTGATTCTTCAGCATTTAATGTGTTGTTAGCTAGTTTCTTTAATTACGTATTTTTATAAGCTGTTTTGTAGAAACGGGTTTCCCCCCAGCAGAAAGAGATAAATAGTTCATTAAACTGGAAAACTCTGCTGTGGAAAGCGAATGCAAACTTAAGTTTCTTTATTGTGTTGAATAGGTGCTATTCTGCAACACCCTACACTTGCTCGTGAGAATTTCCGATGGTAAAATGTGATTACAGAATTCTGCTTTAATTGTCTGAAATTTCATGCGCACTACATACTATCAACAACAAACAAAACAAACTTAGTGGCTTTAGTCCGCAA